AAGGCAGCTAGTCATCACCACCCACCGCTAACTCTTGGGCTACTCTTTTACCAACGAATAATGGGATTGACCGTCACGTTATAACGCCCCCACGGCTGAAAGGGCGAGCATGTTTAGTGGTATGCGGATTCGAACCCGCGACCCTCAGATTGTGAGTCGAGCGCCTTATCCACCTGGCCATGCCGGGCACATTTATTGGCGTATAGAAGACATTGTGATACTCGTTTCGGTTTGTGTTTTAGCGGAACGCTTCCGAAGAAACTGTAAAGTGAAACGTTGAGTGTCTAATTAAATAAAAACAACAAGTTCGTGTTATAAGGTCGTTTAATTTCTAGCATTATATTGCTATGGTATTTGTTTGTGATGTTATGGCAAGTGTATGTAGCATTATACAAAATTACACAAAGCGTGTAATATTTCTCAATAGGTTTCAGTTTTGTTGTTTTAGAGAAAAGCACTTTAGATTATCTGCCGTGTCTACCGCTGGGAATCTATCTACGGATTTTAATGTTGTAAGTCTCTAAACTTACCGCTGTCCCACCGAGAGGGGGGGGGGGTTCATTCGTTCGTTCGTTTTTAATTATGCACAAATCTACACAAGGGCTATCTGTGCTCTACCCATCACGGGTATCGAAACCCGGTTTCAAGCATTGTAAGTCCGCAGACATACCGATGCGCCACTGGGGGGCCCCACCGGGGGGACATTTTTGAATAGAAAAACTGTATGAGTATTTGTCGTTGTTTGAAGTTAAGCACAAAGCATCACCTTGTTGTGTAGCGTTGAGGTTCTATTGTGAAAATTAGCTTTAAAAAATTATATTACATATATATCTGCAGTAAATCATCAAGCACCAGAAGTGGTGTGAAATGCCTATGATGGGGAAGCATTAAGGATTTTTAAGCTTAACAAAAGTGATAACAGTGGTGTAAAACGTCTAAGGCGAGGAGTCATTTAGGATTTTAAAGCTTAACAAAAGTGATAACAGTGGGGCCGCCCCACCTTAGACGTCTAACGCCACTGTTATCACTTTTGTTAAGCTTTAAAATCCTAAATGACTCCTCGCCTTAGACGTTTTACATGATGACTAGCTGCCTTCCCTCTAGTCTTTCACTGCTAAATTAGAGACGGCTAGCGCAGATAGCCCTCGTGTAGCTTTGCGCGAAATTCATAAGAAACAAACTGTATTCAGGAACTATAGCGATACACCTTGTTTCGTGGGTGGATGTGTGTAACGTGGCGTTATTGGATTACTATTACTCATATGTAACACAGTTTTCATTCTACATTTGTGCTGGCGTTTTAGGAGTTAGCGATTATAAATATATATATATATATTTAAGAAGAACAAAAATAAAACATATTATCAACAGGCAGATGAATTGGAGAGAACGAGACATCAGTGATTATATAAACACGAGCCAAGCGCGGCCCGTGGTTAGCATGCTGGACTGTGGAGCTGAGGTTCCACGATTCGCGTTCCGTTACCGCCAAACAAAGAAAAGTACTCAGTATTTTGGGGCCGTGGGTGCGTTATGAAAATAACAATAAAACTCCACGTTTTGGTCTGACAAGAGTTGGCAGTGGGTGATGTTCACTAACTGTATCCCCTTTAGTCACACATTTCAAAATTAGGGATAGCTATCACAGATAGTCCTGATGTAGCTCTGCACGAAATCCAACAAACAAGACATAACTTTAGCAGTTATTTCTCGCTCACATTTGTGGTTTGTTTGTTTGTTATGGATTTCGCGCAAAGCTACACGAGGACTATCTGCGCTAGCCGTTTCTAATGTGTGATGGGGATTCGAACCCGCGACCTGCAGATTGCGAGTCGAGCACCCTAACCAACCTGGCCATGCCGGGCCCATATTATTTGTGGAGAATGAGCCCTAAAATTCGAACCCGCGACCTGCAGATTGCGAGTCGACCAACCTGGCCATGCCGGGCCAATATTATTTGTAGAGAATGAGCCCTAAAATAACCAACACAGTTAGAAAAAGGAGTAAAATTTAGAACTACGTAATGACGGAGAAGACAAGTCTTATCTACTATATAATAATAACTATATAATTACTATAATTACTATATAATAATAATAATAACGTATCATATCAGAACCTTACTTTAAAATTGTGCTCCAAGAGTTTCTGACAAATGGCCTTTCCCAAGCCTTGACCACCACCGGTCACTATTGCTACCTTATTCGTTGTGTCCATGTTGATGCTATTCTTTGGTCACGTACTCTGTGTTGACCTTTTTATATACAGACACTACTTCTCCGGAAGTAGACAGGAAGAGACTCTCGTGAGTATGCATGTAGAAGTCTTGGGACAAGTTACTCATGCCAAATCATTATCTGATTAGACGCGCGTCATTTGTGGTTTCATAACATTCGTTCACCATGTGAAATGGTTTGGTGAGAATATTTCAGATTTAGAAACAGCGCAATTAATCTAAAGAAGGAAACGAAATCTAAAATTTGCCGGATTTACAATAAAACTTAGTCTCTTTCAATGAAAGCCAATAATAAACTAAGGTGAAATGAACATTTAAATCCATCACGATGTATAAAACTATAAATTAGATAACCATTTTTTTATGAGGGGAGAGTAGAGGAATTGACCTAGAAGTTAGCTTGCCTGGCTACTCGAGCCGTGACTTGCTGCTGATCACGTTCCGCTGCGGGGGGCGTTATAACCGATGGTCAGTACCGTTACTCAACTGATTAACTTCAACTGGTTTGTTTGTAATTAAGCACAAAGCTACACAATGGGCTATCTGTGCTATGCCTACCACGAGTATCGAAACCCGGATTCTAGCGTTGTAAGTCCGCAGACATACAGCTGTGCCACTGGGGGGGGGGGGGGCACTTCAACTGGTCAGCAGTACTAAAATAAGAATGGCTATACCTAACCCTTTGGAGACTCTGATCTGGCTGTTGTGTCGCCATTCAAGTTACACCAAAGTTATTGTGGTGACGAGTACTGCTGGTCAGTACTCTGGTCAGTAGTTCTAAATGAGGGACAGTTATACTCGAATTCTAGGGATCTCTGACTTTGTGTTGAAACCCACGTGCGTATAAAGTGCCGTTCAGGTTGAAAATTTAAACACAAAGCTACACAATAGGTTGCCCGTGCTCTGCCCACTGTAGGTATCGGAATTCGATTGTGAACGCTATAAGCCTCCGGTGGAGGGGATATCACCAGTTCTAAAGTATTTGGTTTTGGCGGCATCATTACTAAAAACTGGAAGTCCATTATATTGTTTTGTTTGTGGATTACAGGCAGTTCGTATTTTTATTCTACAGTATTCATAGCAAGATGTGTTGTAATGACAACTTCGGGTTTCAAAAAATAAGTAAAAACATAAGTTACCACCACCAGGGCTGTGTTACCGAAACTAGTCGGTTGTAAGTAACAATGAATATTTTACCTTTCCCTATGCCAAAAAAAAACAAAAAAAACGTCGGTTTTCGTGTTTTTTTGTTTTTGTTTTTTTTTACTATAGTAGCACAATGTGCATGAAAATACGTTATTAGAAAACAGAGGCCAAACACAGTTCTAAACTTCTATAATTAGTATCAGGAATACCTTTACCCAGTTCTGGCAAAACAGGATTTTAGTAGCGTTTTGAAATCGCGATAATTACACGGAAATCGCGATAATTACGCGTTTTGTGGGAAACAGATTAAAACCGAAGTCTTCAACATGAAAAGTACCTCATGCGTGTCCACCAGTGGCATGTCTACGGACTTACGACGCTAGAAACCGGGTTTTGATACCCTTGGTGGGCAGAGCACAGACAGTCCATTGTGTAGCTTTGTGCTTAACTACAAACAAACAAACAAATAAAACTTATGCGTTCATGGGCTAAACACTCGGAGAGGGGGTGAGCAGCCAAGCCATGCTCTCTGCCACTAGGGCCTTTGTCTGGATTTATGATCCAAATAATGGGATTGACCATCATTTTTTATTTGGATTTTTGGCTCTTTTTTTTTGTTTGGATTTTTGATCCGAATAATGGGACTGATCTTTTGTGTGTGTATGTGTGTGTGATGTTCCCAAAGCTGAAAGTGCGGGTGTGTGTACAACAGCTTTACGTCTCGAATCTCGGACACTTTGAGTCACAGCCCGATATTCAAACTACTAGTACAAGGATTTAAATATTTCCTAATATCCCTCCTTCAAATAATTACGATAAAAAATAGTCAAGAACAAGGTAGTTCTACGCTGTAAGGGTACTTTATTCTTATCACGCTGAAACTACGAAGTGACGTCATTAGTTGCTTGATTCATAGACCTTAACACAGCGTCATTAGAAATCAACCATGGTGAATGATGACGCAATCTACGGTTAGTTAATGATTCCCAATAGAAATTTTCAGACAGCCTAAAAATGAAATACTAGACTGAGAAGTAAATTTGTTATTATTTTTTATAAATTATACAGTGAATATGCTCTTAAGCCTTTAAAATACATATTTAGGAATATAAACAACACATTCCTGAAAATATTAATTTGTTTCAAGATCGCTTCAAGTTTTCTCTGTGGGTTTATAATTCTAAAAATCGGGTTTCGATACTCCTGGTAAGCAGAGCATTGATAGCCCATTGTGTCTTTGTGCTATAAATCTGCGGGCTTCCGAAGGCAGGTATCATCTGCATTTGATGTTATTGTCGTTTTAATTTGGTGATTTAAAAAAGTTATCTAAATATATGGTTGTTTTAGAGCAAAGCTATCTCCTGTGTCCACGGCAGGAAATCGAACTCAGGATTTAAGGAGCGTAAGCCCGTAGACTTACCGCTGACCTAACAGTGAGAAAAATATCACAAATAACAATTATTTCTCTTGCCAGTTGTCATCACTTGGCAACCCTACACGTCAGACTTAGGATGCAGTGGCTTTTCTCACGAAACCTCTCAGATTCTAAAGTATGGGGAATTGCCTCAACGAAGCCATACTAATGTAAAAGAATAACCTAAGTTATAAATAAACGCTTTCCTATTACTTCGTATAATATCGCGGCGGGGTGTATGTGTCGTATATGAACATGCTGCGTGTTTTCTACTTCCCTGTATTAATGTGAAAGTTTTCAAAATTTATTATTTAGTGCATTCCTTTCACTTTAGGTGTTAGTTGTACGGTGCCATTCACCTAGGGTAGCACCTTTTATCTTCTGGTGGGAAGATAGTTGTAAGATCCCCTATGTTTTCTACTTCCCTATATTAATGTGAAAGTTTTCAAAATATATTATTTAGTGCTGTTTTCACATCACGTTTTTCTAGAATGTTGTTAAATTCATGTCACTTTAGGCGTTAGTTGTACGGTGTCATTCACCTAGGGTAGCACCTTTTATCTTCTGGTGGGAAGATAGTTGTAAGATCCCCTATGTGTTCTACTTCCCTGTATTAATGTGAAAGTTTTCAAAATATATTATTTAGTGCTGTTTTCACATCACGTTTTTCTAGAATGTTGTTAAATTCCTTTCACTTTAGGTGTTAGTTGTACGGTGTCATTCACCTAGGGTAGCACCTTTTATCTTCTGGTGGGAAGATAGCTGTAAGATCCCCTATGTTATGTGAAGTTAAACAGGAAGTCAGGTGACTTCCCGAGGTAACAATTTTTTTGTATTTCATTAGGGGAATGACTAATCACGTGTGTGTGTATCATTAAGGGCTCCAGGTAATTTTTACGTTAACGATCTAAATAGCTAATATGAGAATTATTCAGTTTGGAACTAAATCTAAGGATATTCAGACTGGAATACAATCTTGAGAGGTAGAGTTTGGAACCTGAGATTATCGAGTTAGCACTAACTCTTCAGTAGAGGTAAAAATCTATTGTGACAAGGTAAGTACACATTTCCCTGTATTTGTCTTAAATTAAGATTGTTCACTTTAATTGTAGATTTGTAATTCGTCTATTTATTTATTACGACTTTGGTATTCAGAGAGTATAGAATTACTTCGTGGTAAATATCTTGTCGAATCTCCGGTTATTAGTGGACCTGTTTTGTCGCTCTGAGTGGTTCTAGTCTTATGTGAAAGCACTACATATGTTGGTATTGTATTATTGTTTTGGAATCTCAAAGATTGACATGCAAGCCCTGTTCATAGTAGGGCCTTTCTCTAGCTGTACCTGTTTGTCGAGTGGGGTTCCTGAGTCCCAAAGGTGTTAATATTGTGTATCTTACAAGTTGGAGTATATGACTTTGAAATGAACATCACAGACGAGACCCCGGACATAGAAATTATTAACGTTATGTAATTCACTAGTGGACCTTCATGATTTGGGCCAGGCGGGCTCCTGCCCCACTTATAATGCTCTATGCAGACACACTTTTCTTTCTCGTCTTTGTAGCCCTTTAGTGGATCAATGGTAAGTCTGAAGGCTTATAATGCTAAAAACCAGGTTTCGACACTCGTCGTAGGCACAGCACGCCCATCGTGTATCTTTATTCTTAACATCAAAATAAAAACACACAAGCCTCTGTGTATTGATATAAAATTTTAATTTATTCAGATGTATGAGCGGTTTCCATATAATACATTGGTCTAGAAAGTTGTTAACTTCGTTTCGCTCTGCCCCCCACCAGGTGGCCTAGCAGTATGTCTAAGAGTTTATCATGCTAAAATTCAGGTTTCTATTCTCACCATAAGCATAGTATAGATGGCCCATTTTGTAGCTTTGGGTTTATCAGAAAACAAACGAAACCTTTCACTCTAGCTATCTATTGTTCTGAGTCATTCACCTAAGATATCACATTTGTCTGTCCATAAGAAAGGTTTCTGCAAGATTAACCATATCATGTTTAAATGTAAACAGTGACATTTTCCACTGGCCAATCAGGTGATGACTAGATTCTACAACTTACCTCATGATGAACGAGAATGGGTAGCTGTCAGGTTTTGTATACTGTAGATTCGAGTAACGTGACGTCAATTTACTACAATTGAACTACACACACAACGCATGACTCTTGCCGAGTTACGTAACAAAACTTGTCATAACTATCGCCTTTAAAATATTTAACTTTTAAACACTCTTGTTATGAAAACTAAATAATCATTAAATGAACTAACTCTTACACTAAACAGTTCTGTATATATCAACAGTAACGTAAGTCGCCCTGGAAAAGTACGAAATTATACTTTTAAGTACATAATGTGATGTTTTCTCAGACGAGAAAAACTTAATGAGTTAAACAAGCTTAAGGACAA